GCCACGCAGAGTTTCTGGCTATCCGGGCCGCAGGGGGTGCCGTCCAGCACGCGGCCGAAGCTGTGGTAGAAGGCGTGCCCCTCGGCCAGGCAGTTGAGGTCGCACTGGTTGGGTGCTGGGGACGGGAGTGGGAGTTGGGCTAGCCAGGGCACCTCTATCCCAGTGCCCGCCTTCCTGTCAGCTCCCTTGCAGATAGATGTAGCTGAGAGACTTAGCCCAAGTCACACAGTGACACAGAAGATCCAGGGCTTTGCCTCCAGCCCCTGGGACTCTCCCAGGTAAGTGTTCTGGGATTGGATTCATTCCCTCACTCATTGGTGCATTTACTCAAGTCAAAGCCTGACATTTGGACCTTAGCTGCTATCCATTATCCGTATGACCTACCCATTCTTCACTCCCCAAACACATTTTGCAACCTACTATTTTCCAACTATTGTTCTGGCCCTGGACTGCATGATAGGCTGAACTGACCTTGAATTCTGCACCCAGCAGGTGCTCAACAAAAAGCGTTTGTCGGTGCTGAGCCCCAAGGAGCCTGAGAGTGACTGCCCTCCCTGAGAGCGGCCTCTGCCTGACAGCAAGGCACAGCAGGCAGTGTGCTCACACCCGCTGACCCACAGCCTGCTCCCTGCTCCTTCCACGGACGCTCCCTCGGGCTCCCCCCTCCCCGAGCCTGGTTGGCAGGTTCTGCCTGGAGCAGAGCCCTGGTGGCCCTCTGAAGGGGGAGACTCATGCATGTTTCTTCCAATTCTTAGAGAAAAGAAAAATGAAAACAAGTTATGAGGTTGATGACTGGAACTTCCTCCACTTCCTAGGCCTGTCTTCTCTGTGTCTGCCCCCACCATGGTGTCTGAGCTGCCTGTCTCCCTTAAATCTGGAGGTGCACTGCCCCGGGCACACAGTTATATAACTAGCTATTTTCAGCTCAGTGCAGCAAAATATCCTGCTACTGGAATAAGTTTGAGAACTGTTGGCCTCCACATACAGCTCCAACTAAATCCTTGGCCTGGTGTTCAGCCCTGTGCAGAATATACCCTGTCTCCCTCTGCCCTGCTTGACAGCCACACCTGAAGTTTCCTGCTCACCAACTCCTACCTATCCTCCAAAGCCTCAGTGCTAACGCCCCTCCTCTTCCCTACCACCCAGATCACCCTTCCTTCTAGCAGCCACTGCTCTCTACTAGATCCGAGTTGCTTCTCAGAGCCATAGGAGGGCAGGCTACTCACCGCCATAAAAGGGTATCCATTGGTAGGTCTTCTGCGTGTCCAGGAGAGGGTGGCGATTGTAGAGGGCACACTGGAGGTCTCGGAAGGGCACAGCTCCTGGGGGACAGTCCTGGGGATGTAGGTGAGTCAGTGTCTAGGCCAGTCGTCACGGAGCCCACAGAACCAGATAAGAATTTGGGGGGCGGGTGTGCATATGAAAGGAGAGGGGCTTTAGGGAAAACTTGAGGACCTGGGAGGTGGACAGAATTTACCAGCAACTGGCAGAGACGGTATTCATGGGTGTCCCCCCAGCACGACTCTTCCTCAGAAAACCTATGGGGGTCACAGTGGCCACAGTGTAGTCAGGACCCCAGGACTCCCTCCAGAGGGCCTGCCTGCCAACTCCACCCACATTCCAGATGGATCATGGGATTGAAAGCCACAGCATGTGTGGGCAGGCAGAGGGAGCGGCCAGGGGCTGGGCCAGGCTGTCAAGAGAAGACGGACAGGGACCCAGTCCCGTCCCACCTGGCTGAACCCCAGATGCTGCTCACCGGATGCAGTGGCGGCTGCGCACAGAGACGCCTCGCCCACAAGTGCTGGAACAGCCACTCCAGGAGCCCCACAGAGTCCACTCATCTGGACCCTACTTGGAGTGAAATGGGCACCGTGAGTCTGGAGGGTGCCAGCGCCCCCTGCATCGGAGCTGGGCTGCTGTGCCCCCGCCCCTCTGCGTTCATGGCCCCTCTTACCTGAGCACTGCCCCCCAAACCACAGGTCAGGAGTGTCCACAGCAGAAGCGGGAGGGTCCAGAGGGGTTGGGGTCTGAGGGAGCAGAAGGGCTCACTCTAGCTGCCAGGTGGCCAGGGGCTGAACCCCAGCTCTGCTAGACTGGCTGTGGTTTGGGGGAGTAATTTAACCTTCCCGAGCCTCAGTTCTCATCTCTGGGAAATGGGTGATAATAGAGGCCTCCCTGCAGGAAAGCTTGGGGGCTTATAGGATGAGGGAAGGAAAACAAGGGGTGCAGAGCCTGGTGTGGGGGGGAGTTCAGATAATGGTCGGTTATCAGGGTCGCCTGTGTGGGCTCGTCCTGCGCACGGCAGGGCTTAGTCAGGGCTCAGAATGGGAGGGGTCACTCCAGGGCCAGGAGCCCTGAGCGCTGCCCATCGTCGTTGCTTCTACCTTACTGTGTGGCTGGGGGCCGGCCACTCCGACGCCACAGGCCTCCGCTTCCCCATCTGTGCAGTGGGAACCAGCGGGCTCAGTCCAGGCCTCTAAGACCTTGCAGGAGGCACAGCGTCGGGGCTGAGCCAAGGGCCTGGCCGGCAGGGACTCCTCAGCTCCCAGACCAGCGCCAGCAGGGAGCCCACGGCCTGGGGGAGGGCTGGGGCCGGACGACCTGGGCCTGGTCCAGGTGGCACTTCATGGCCTCCCGTGCACACGGTGGGGCATGGAGCACCAGGCTGCCTGCAGAGGCAAAGGGGCACTGATGAGGGGCGCAGGAGCGTGGGCGAATGGGGGATGGGTGGCTGGGGCAGCAGATTCTCCTGACCTAGGCCTCTGCCTCCCATCTGTCACTTGGTGTCCACAAGGGGGAGGATGAAGTCACTTGCCGTCCACACCCCCCAAGTGACCAGGCCTTGGCAGAGAAAGGGGGAGGGAGGAGGCCACCTTTTGAGTCCACAAACCCAGTGGAGCCCATGCTTCTGGACCCTGCTTGTGGAGAAGCTGGCACCGTGAGGGGCAAGCTGATGCCCCCCACGCTGTGGGCTGCAGGATCAGAGAGCCTGGAGGTGAGCTGTGACAGAAGGGCAAGCAAGACATCTGGAGTCCTGGGCAGCAGGAGAGGGCTGGCTGCACCCAGGGCCCTCGTGGCCTCGGTTTCTCTGGTTTTCAGGCCCTCCTGGCTCAGCAGGACTATGGAGCTCCAAGTGCTGAGAGCAGGGAGGCCAGGAAGGGGGACAGTCACCCTTACCACTCCCCGAAGTCCCCTCTGGGAGGAGCAAAACACATAAAGTCCAGCTGGTGACTGGGTGCTGGTGACTGGCGGTGCGACCCGGGCCGGGAGGAGCCCAGCTCGCCTCAGTCTCCAGCCTCAGTCTCCAGCCTCAGTCTCCCAGGGAGGAAGTGGGCATAAGCTTCCTCCCCCTGAGGACTGCTGCCCGGCCACCCCCCACCCAGGCCGGGTCCAGGGAGGGCAGGAGGCGCCGGCAGAGGTAGTGGGGGGATAGGAAGAGGGACTTACCGGCAGGCAGCGCCCAGGAGGCACGTCCTGGCTCCCCCGGCGGCACCCGGGCAAGCGGAAGCAGCGGGGCCCGCGGGAAGGGCGGGGGGAACC